ACAGCTTTACCGGCATAATCTCTGGTATTGGCATTAAAATAACAGCAATACCGCAGCAGCTTTACAATAGCAACAAATTAACTTCATGCAAAGCAGTTGAGAAACTGTACACCACAAAGGTGTAGCTTCAAAGCATGCAAGATTTTATCCGCTTTGGTTGATCTGACGACCAGTCAAAGTAGGTAAAATTTTGTAAATATGATTATACCTGCCAGAACCTTTAGTACATAATCTACATACTCTGTAGACATTGCTTTTATATAAACAAATTTTATGCATTATACCTAATTTTTGATTAATCATTGTTTTTAAAGTGAACAGTAGTTAAATTTTCTTGCAGAATAAATAAAATGGATTTCCAAATAAAAATAAATACCAATAAATTCAATTACGATTTAGTGGTCAAAAAAAAATGCAATTTTTAAATTGTTCTTTAAAGTCTATGATGACTGGAAAAATTTTCATTTGACTTACCCTTTTCTTCACTGTTTGAATTTTCTGCAATTGCTCAAAAATTCAACATCAAAAAGAAGAACATCAACAGGCATTTTCACAAACAGTACTTAGTGTATTACTGAAAAGTTCATACTGCCAAAGTTTTTTAACGAAGAATCCTTTTTTTTTTCAGAATGTACCTAAAAAATACTTATAATACAAAATTTCTACAGCAATTGCTAAATTACTGTCGACCGATCAACGATTAATTCATTTAAAAAACTATCCTAAATTGACTGACAAAACTAATTGGTGTGAAAGCTTATTGCATGCTGAAAAAAGAACACTCATATTGCTCTAAAGATAGCTTAGCTAGATAATTATACAAAGTAAGCTGCATCAAATTTATTCATAAACTGTAATCATAATTTTTTCCTGCAAAAAAACAAAAACAAGGTTAAAATTTCATGAAAAGTTTACAAAGCTGATCCAATAAGACACTAAAAAAATGTTCTAAATTTTTGATTTCTTTCTTTTTTGTTGTAGCATCAAAACAGTAGCACTGAGAAAAAACATCACAAATTTCTGTTTACTCTCTGCTCAATCTTTAATCAGAATTGATCAGAACAACTTATAAATGGCTCCTCGTTCACTGCAACTTACTGCGTTAGCAAAAAGTTTCCTGGTTTCCGCAACGGGTGCTTAACTAGATATTTGAAGATGATACGTTTTCTTGCACTTTTTTTCGTCCTGGTTGCTTCTGCTAATGGTGAAGGTTAGTTACTTCAAGTACTTCAAGTAACTTGATTTATTTTCGCAGTTTTATACTGCTGAAGAGTAGTATGCATCCAAAATGTTCAAAAAGTATTAAAGTACGATATGCGGCAGAGCGAAATAAATAATCCTGAAATCTTTTTTCCAAAGAGTCGATTTTTGTATGTCACGGTAATATTTATTAAGTATTTATTAGAATGCTTGAGTACTCTACACCAGTTTGTTAACAATAGTCCTCAAGTGTTGGTAAATTTTGGGCATTTTGATCTGACATTCTAAAAACAAAAAATACTTGCTAGAGTAAATAAGCCTAGTCCAAATTATAGACCAAAAAAAGCACACTTTTGTTCAGTATTCTTACGTCTA